CTTTAATGAGCTTTTACTATTACTAATGAACCTAAACCCTGATATTTTATGCTTACAAGAAACTTTCCTTAATAAATAATAAACTAAAATTAAAAAATTATGAAACATATAACCATATACACAATACTGAACTCAGGGCCTCTAGTGGCATATCAATTCAGAGCAAAATTCAGCTTGACACCAAACTACAAGCAATTTCTGTTAAAGCAACAGTACATAGAGAAATCAACATATGTTCCCTCTATATTCCACCGAATGATCCCATCAATAAAAAACGAGCTAAACAAACTTATTGTACAGCTACGTAAATGCTTCATACTACTGGAGGATTTAAACAGTCATAATACTATATGGGGAAGCAAACAAACAGATCAAAAAAGTAGAATGCTTGAAGAAACAATAAACAGCAGCAGTCTGTTTATTTAATACCAGATCTGCAACATACTTAAACACAACCTCTGGCAATCTTTTTGCTATAGACCTGACCATTGATTTATATAGACTATGACCCATTGATTTATATAGACTATGACTGGAGGGTGTATCAGGACACTTGTGGTAGTGACCATTTCCCAATTGTGTTGGAAAACTCTGAACCAAACGAGGTAGGCCCCATACACTGGAAGCTAAAATGAGCAGATTGGGGGAAAAATATGAAAGTGAAGGTAAAAAAACAGCTAATCAAGGACACACATGATGATGAGGATCACTTTATGGAAACACTTAACACCATAGTGGCAGGATGCATACCGAAAGGACAAATGAAGAATAGACGAAACAAGCTATGGTTTGATAAAGATTGCCAGATAAAGTGGCCTTGTGAAAATTCATCAGTATGCCCACCACTTGCAATCGAATTGTCTTCAAACACCTCAGAGAGTATTCGGCTTGAAGGACAATTAAAGAAGCAAAGAGAGAGTGTTGGAAAAAATATGTAAACAACCTCAACTCTTACTCAAAAACAAAAATAATTTGGGAAATGATAAGAAAAATATCAAGAAAAAAAAACCAAAGCTTCCCCATAAAGCATCTAGTGATATGCAACAATAAAATAATTAGCAAGCTAGAAATAGCTAATCTACTAGTTGAAGCCTACTCAGAAAATTCCAAGGTGGATGGAAACCAGAGATTCCAAAATATCAAACAGAAGGAGGAAAAGCTTAAACTCAACTTCTCATCAAATAACCTTGAACATTACAACAAACCTCTTACTATGACAGAACTCAGGGAGTTCATCAAAATGTCCCATAACACAGCAGAGGGCCCTGATGGGATACACTATGAATTCATCAAGCACCTCCCACAAGAATCCTGAGAATACCTATTACATATAGTCAATAAAATCTGGATAATTGGATAATTTCCAAAAACCAGGAAGCAAACAACTATCCAGATTCCAAACCAGGAAAAGATCATGCAGACCCATAAAACTATAGACCGATATCGTTAACCAGTTGCTTTTGCAAAACAATGGAATGAATGATTAATAGGAGACTGACCTGATTCCTGGAAAAAAAATAAAATAACAAAATTCTAATGTGGCTTTAGAACATCTAATAAGATTGGAAACCTTTATAAGAGAAGCTAACATTAAAAAGAACATCTAACTGCCTTCTTTGACCTAGTGAAGCAACCATCAAAAATTTATCATATTCTAGGACTGCTAATCGGTTTTAGTCTCCTTAAAGAGAAAAAAATAGAAAATGCATTGATCTTAAAACTGCTAAATAGGATCAACACTATGGAAAAAACAAAACATAATATTCTGCTGGATATCCAGTCACATTGGAATTAAAGGAGGCAACAGAGTTGACTAAGTAGCTAAGTCATCCTTAGAAATGACCATCAATAAGAAAGTCAAAATACCCTACACAGACATAAAATCCAAAATAAATGAATACATAAAAGGAAATGGATGCAAAAATGGGAAAACATAAAAGAAAATGAACTATTTAAAATAAAACCAATTTTGGGGAAATGGACAACAATAAAATAAACTGAAGAGAGGAGGTTGTTCTGAGTCAACTGCATATAGGACACACATGACTAACACATGCCCAAATACTTAAATGAGAAGAACAACCAAAGTGTACATGTGGATTTATCCTGACAGTAAAACATATCCTGGAAGAATGTAGAAGCATAGCTCATATCAGGAAAAGATACTTCAAGGTAAGGAACCTAAAGGAAGTGCTTGAAAAAGTAAAAATCAGAAACATCATCAACTTCTTGAAAAGAGTAGGACTATACAATAAAATATTTTAAAAAAATCAGATTATCTCTAAAACTATTTAAATACAATTTTGAAATACAATACAACCTTGAAACACAACTCCTCAACTTTGATAAGAATTAAATAAATAAAAATATAATAATTAAATAGATCCAGCATAAAATGACCCATCAGAGGTTGACATGCCATAAAACCCAATAAATCTTAATGTTTTAAGGAATTTTCAAATAAAACAGATAATTGCTGGAATGTATCTAGCCATATATTCATCTCTATTTTCTAACAAATTTTTCAGGATATTTTACACATAAAATATATTATGTATTGTTTAGTAACTTTCATGTTCCTAGTTTTAAGGACCAATTCACCTAAAAAAACTTGTCAAAGTTGTTCTACATTATTCTACATAAGTTCTATATATTGTAATAAACCATATCATCAGTATATAATCTCTTATTCAAATAAGTCACATGATAGCAATTAAAGAATTTGAAGTTTGGTCACATGATTGAAATTGGGTCATATGTCATAGATGTCAGTTTTTTCAGGAAAAAATTCTTTGTCTTTTGGTAAGAGAAGAAACAAAAATAGATCTCACAGAGAATCTTGATAACTTGCTCAAAGGAATTACCTTTCTCTTGTTTTAATAACAAGATTTGAAAAGAAAACAAAATTGTGGGTTATTGTTGTAGCAGAGGATAATCATAGTGGCAACAAGACATGTGAGTATCAGCGGTAGTAATAAACACAACCTGATGTTTTGTTTTCAAGTTGCCTTTGGCTGTTAATCTTTTGTCCTGTGTTTATATACAGATAAAAGCAGAAGAATAATATGGAATAGAACATAATGCTGGAATTTGCAGCCTGTCACAGTGAATTTTGTTCTAAAAAGTTACTGTATAATGTTCAATCTATATGATTATCATTCACCACTAAATTAAGTACAGTAAAGGAGATTATACTGAAAAATAAATATTTTTCTTTTAATAAAATAAATGCCATTTTTATTATTAGGCTGTAGAATTAAGGATGTACAGTGTAACAGTTACTGGTGGAATTTTACTAATAAGTTAATCTATATCCAATGAATACTTAAAATGGGAATTAATTTGATATGAAAAGCCTAGATAGCCAAGCTAGAGGTAATTGGGATTTTTCTAGCATAAGAGCAGTACTTTGGATTTTGCTACTTAAATTAGGATTTGAACTAAAAAAGACTGGAAAAAAATGAGATTTGAACAGAAGTCAATGTTTCATAAGATATTGTCAGGAAAGAAAACATTTGGATGTCATCAAAAAGCAGAGAAAGTGTCAGGCCTAAAGAAAATGGAATTATCTCGAGGATGTGGGGTAAAAATCTCTCTAAGTGGGTTGCTGGAGAAATGACCATGAAATGAAATCCAGATGGCACTATATAGATAAAAGCTGAATAAAGATTTCTTTGTGGACAAAGTGATAGATTTCTGTTGCTCATTAATTTTTCACTCTCCATATAGGATGGGCAGATAAATGCATGAGAAATTTATATAGAAATTGGTTGAAGGTTGAAATTATATGGGCAGATGGAAAATTGAATGTTGGGAAAATTTATAATTTTGCCAGATAGTGTTAATTGATTGAGGGAATGTAGTTGGTGACATAGCCAGGATGAACTCTAAGAGTAGTGGTAAGAAATTTTTCAACTAATGGGCATACAAAAAACTGATTTCCTTTACAAACTGACAGTAGAAGAGTTGGAAACCAGGTTTTTGAGATCAATTTTGTTAGCAAGCCCAAAGTTCCCTGAATTAATTGTTGAACTGATTACAAGTTGCCAGTCTGGAGTATTGCTGTTTTTGCAATATGCTGTGAATAATGCTAACAATTACTAGCTCAACAACTAGCCATAGTTTGGTGGACCACAGCACTGCAGAATTGGGAAGGGTTAAACTTATCACTGAAACCCTTAACACATAAATTCTGTTATTGTTTCTACAAGTAAGAGTTGGTTATCTGTTGTGAAAGTCACTTCATTTTCCTTGTAACTTCCCCCTTTGCTTCTGAAGAAATTTCAACTAGCTTTGACTACAACTTCCTCAGATCAAGAAGATAAGTACACCTTTGTTAGGTAAAATTTGCTGACAGATTGAAACACCCAGTACCAGAAGAAGCAGAAAGTGGGGTTATGTTATATAGATCCTAATTAAACTTTGACTGCATTTTCATAAGATTATCATGACTAAATATAAAAAAATAAACATATAATGTTATCATGTATACAAAATTGCTTTCATATTAAATCATTCAACTATCTGGTTCTCTTTGTTTTTTGAATCATAGATTTGGTGGTCAGCCATATTTGTTTTTTTATCTGAAAAGGATTGTGTGAAAAGCTTAGTGATATCAAAAGAAAAGGCAAAAATGACATGAAAACTTCTTAAACCTTGGAAATCTTTCACTATTCTTTTTTATAACTTAATATTAAAACCGGAATATTCTGGCTAATGTTTGATTTGTAGTGTCAATTACAATACTAACCATTTTCTGCTTAATATCTTGAGTAAAATGAAATTTGAACTTTGTGAAATTTAAACTAATATTTTAATGAATGAGTATTTGACATAAAAATAAAAAAATGAGGATCTTAAATTCTTTGACTTGTGTGTCTAAAAATTACAGTTTTAATATTGTGATAACCTTTTATTTATGAGGACTAACATTTAGATTTAATATCACATATACTTACTTTTAAACTTTTTTTTTTTTTTTTTTTTTTTTTTTTTTTCAGGATTTACAAAGCAACTCAGCAGATTCACTAGATGGACTAAAAAAATGGAAAAATGTTGCAATTGAAGGAATGGAATTTGCTGCCAAGCACTTTAAATCTTTTCTTCCCCCTGTGGTAAAATCACTGAGTCCTGTTGGGGTGCCATACATGTTGTGGGAACTCAAGAAGTACCATGCACTTCTGGGTATATTACCACCAAATAATCAGTACCATCCTCCCAAAGTTGAGGATGATGATGCAATTTTCTATACATTACTATCTATGTTTCATCCACGGCCTTTTCTTCTGACTCGATTTGGTCCACATGGTGCTGTTGCTTGTGTAAGAGCCTATAATGATCAATATTTTGACATTGTTTTCAGGTTAGACAATAACAAACATTACCTTTTTCTTTCTTAAATTTTGCACCTTTCAGTACTTTCCCTTAAAAATTCATATTCATTTTATCTCTCATATGCATCAAAATCTTTTCTTTCCTCCTCCTCTATTTTTGTTCTGTTTTCTAAATTCACTTTTTATTGTTTTTTTTATCTATTTTTGCTACCTTTCTTCTTAGTGATCTCTTTGTTGTTTCTTTCTCTTTTCCTCCACATTTTTCCTATTCACTTTTTCTTTTATATTTTTCTCTATTTTTTCCTTAATTTTAAACATGTGATTTTTGCAGTGGTGCAGTGGGATGGAAGGGGCAGTCTGCCTCAGGCAGCACTTTTGGTCCACAGTGAGTTTTCAGAAAAGAAAAAAGCAATAGCATAATTTTAATAATTTTTGCGAAAAATGCAGAGATAAGGAAGATAATGAACCAATTTTTTATCTTATCAAAGTCCTAGCTTTAATACAGATATAAAATTGTTACTTTTAATAAATTATAAAATAGATAAATAAATTGAAATAATTCCAATGCTTTTAATGATATCAAATGTATTCTAATTTTTTCTGGAAATATTGAACAGAAATTTAAAAGAAAATTGAAAATTAATATATTTTTTTTAAAGTTCAAAAATGGACATTTTTTTTCAATTTACAAGTTTTCACGGTAGTAAAACAATGCAATGTTTTATTTTTTTTTGTTTAGATAGTTAAAATTTTATTAAGCAAAAATAGACTTAGAATTAAAAGTATGATAACATTTATTTCAGTTTTTAAAAATGAAATTAATTTTATCAGACTTTTAATTCTTAGTCTACTACTTTGCTAATAATAACTTCAACTACGTAAAACCAAAATAACTTAAAGAAATTGCATTTTTTACATTGCTAAAAGAAAAACAAACTGTGTTTCTGTTAACGTGGCATTTAATTTATGACTCCTCACTTGTTAGAATTGAAATAAATATTAAAAAAATCTGATAAATTATGAATTAAAAGTACAATGTGTTTCTTGTTTTTCTTTTTAAATAAAACAGAGGGTATATAAACAAAAAAAAAGTTATCTTTTAATATCATAAAAAGTTTTTAAAGTTCCCGATTTAGAAAAAAAAGTAACGTCTTTGTTTTTTTACATATCCCCAGTTTTATTTTTAAAAAATAAATAAATGAACACAATTGTACTTTTATTTCATAATTTATCAGTGAGGAGTTATGAATAACTAGGACTAGGATAGTTACTGATGACTAGCCTTAACCCACTTCCTCCTTCGACCATGTGCCACAATTATGTATCAAATACATAATAAATATATATTCCTTTTTGTGTGTTTATTAAGATATAAAAAACCTGCTAACATACAGCCATTAGATTCTGAGAAATGGCTAAAAATATTAAAAATTGATAGGTGTACGAATAATTTAGTTGTTGACTCATATATATAAACTTTAAGGGGTTAATGTGCATTGTAATATTGTATTCCTTCTGGGGAGGCAAAAACACTACTTATGCGACTGGATTTTTGCCTTTATTTTGACTGTTTTCTTACCAATTTAATCAAAGCTCATTTCTAAAGAAACTAGAAGTGACTTTTTCCAATGTTATTTTGTTTTTTCTCTCTTCATTTCTGTAGGATGCATGCAGAGTTCCAGTTAAATGAGCCTCCATTGCAGCCATTTTGGTTTACTCCTGCCTACTTTTCAGGGAGCCTTATTATCAACAGAAATGCTTCCTCTGTTCTTTATTTTAGTTTATCTGTTCCAAATCATAATAAACTTAATGTTGGTAAGTGGAAATTTTACTTTCTCCACATATTTACAATAGATATCAACAAGTTATCATGGGTTGAAAATGAGGCTTTGTAATTTTACCAGTAAGCCAAATTTGCAAAATAAAGTTTTGTTTTCTTTCCTAATTTATTTACATTTTCTACATTTTTTTAAAAACAAAAACTATAGGATAGTTAAATAATTTTCTTAAAATGAACATTAGATTTAGATTTTTATTGTAAATTTGTCATTTTTTCTTTGATCTGTATTTTTGGAATTGAGGTTGAAAATCACATTTTATTTGATGAAAATTATAAGGATACCATAAAAAATACTTTTGTCTACAAATAAAAAAGAACAACAATTTTTGCTGACTGGATATGAACTTTTGAATAAAATGTCATAACATTTTTCAGCTTTTTGATTTAAAAAAAAAAAAAAACTGTTGAAAATTTTATAATTGAAAAGCACATTAAATGCTTGACAGATTTTTTTTTTCTCCTTGATAGAAATTGCCAAGTGACTTACTCAAGTGTCAAGTAATGTAATTTTCAAAGTGTTAACTCTATTACTAATTATTTCCACTGGTTTGCTTGTAAACTAAAATTTGAGATCTATTCATCTTCTGACAAGTTGCATTAACAAGACTGAAGGCAGATTCATTGTGCGCATTAAAGAATCAGCAGTGAGGATTTTTATACATATATTTATATAGAGAAAATAACTTAATTCATAAAAGAAAGAGAAAATTATATTTATGTTTGTACAGGTAGCACAAAAAAGGAAAGAAAAACATTTGTTTGAAATTAAGTGATCAACCTGCTGGGGCAAGAAATCTCCTCTGGTAGAGAGAAGTCCTTTGTTTTTGCTATTACATCCCAGAGAAAAAAAAGAGTGTTTTTGTCCCTTCCTTTTTATAGTCCTGAATAGAATACCATTTTGGCAGACAGTCCAGTAGTCCCCATACACACATGGCTAAAGATATTTTGTATGTCTCCCATCACTGAATCTGTCTGAGTTGCTTTGTCACTGTAATTCAATGAGGCTCTTCTGTAAAGAAACATCTGCAGCAGTAGCATTAACTTCAAAAGAAATCATCACCCAATATATTTGTCTCTGGTAGGTCACTAAACTGATCTTGTATATCTTTGTACAATATTTTTCAAAAGTTCAGTATATACAGCAGGGTTATCAATATGCAGTTTATGGCTAATGGAGATCAGACATGAAAATTGCTCTAATGCATGACTTCCTATGTTAATCCTGAACAGTTTAAATTTCCAAAGAAAACAGTATGAGATACTTTGCAAGATATTAGATGTTCCTTTTGTAACTGTTATTAATTGTTCTTTGGTCTGCTTGCTAGCCAGAAATGAAGCAACATAAGTGATGAAAGTACAACAAAGTGATGAAGATAATTACTTTTTGATAACTCAAATTCATTAAAATCCAATAATGAGCTGATTTTATTGTTGGATAAGAAAAACTGAAGATCTGTTTGGAAAATCCAAGCTGTAGCAACTTTTTGAATTAAACTAACTGCCAGATATAGGATCAAACATGATGGATCTAATGTTTTAAGAACAGGATATAGATATATGCATTGAAACAATTATTCATTACTAAACAGTCTTTAAGCATGCCAATCTGTATCAAAAAAGTTTTAAACTTCTTGTTTTGTTCCTTGCAAACAATGCTTGCAATCAGTTTCTTCTCAATCACATTACTAACCATGGTGACACGTGTAGGCTTTTCACACAGCAGTAAACCATTCAAGATTTATTACAATAATTGTGGTGCAAGGCCGAAAGGGGAAATGGGGGGAGGCTGGTCATCATTAACTATCCTATACCTAGCTAATCTGATTCATGACCCATCCATATGTTACAATTTACTCATTCATCATAAGAACCATTCACTCCTAAATACACCAAAATACCTTGCACACAAAAACCTATCAAAAAACACCCCATGACATAAAAATTTCTTTATGTACAAATATTTGATATACAGAAAATATAATGATGTTGTGCAATGATGGGGAGGGTATGAATCCCAAAAAACAAAGTAAATTAACAAAATATCAAACTGAAAACAATACAAGTTAGTAGGATCCATCCACACCACAAAAATAAGAGTGGCTGCTGTATTCTATTTACAGAGAGAATCAAGAAGCTCACTCACTAACAGAAAGGGAAGGATAAAATAAATATGGGTGTGGGGAAATCAAACTAACCTAGTCAAGTTGAAAAATGCAGCCCAAAACAAAGTGGGGAGATATAGCATTCATATCGCAAGATTTCCTCCTTCCGTGTCGTCCAAATCACAATTTTAACTACAGCTAGCAGCACGAAACACCATCCGTTTCACCCCAGAATACAGGGGTGACACATTGTCACACATGTATGCAAGATTCATGAGCACAAGCTTTAGGGAGTGATGCAAGCCATCAACTCACCGACATAGTCCCAGAATACCTGATGACAATGGTAGAAGGTGTGTGAACCTATTTTGTCTAAGCCAAGGTAACACTGATAAGACAGGCAAATCTGCCAAGTCCCATTTGAAGGCAACATCATTGAGAGATAGCCTATTCTGAACCAGTTGCCAGGTAAGTGAAAACTCAGGCTTGCTGAGGTAATCTGCTCATGCTGCCCAAGACCAGAAAGAGTGCAAATCAGATGCTGACAAACTGAACTACCCCCTCCACTAATTCCTGATACAAGACTCTCCGAGGCCTAGAAAGGGCACTGGACCTAGGATTGACCCACAAGGCTGCTTGACATTCAAGAAGGAAACTCAACTGACCCTGGGGCCTATGACAGTGCTCATCTCTAGAATTGGGAGTAGTAATAGTAAGATGAGGGAAAGCAGCTCTCGCACACCCCTCGAGTCTTCTGTCAATGTGCGGCATAGGAAAGCCAACCTCAAGGCATGTCAGTGACTTGCAAAGTGTGATATTCCCAGCCCCCCCCCCAACATGAACGTTGGGCACACAGTCACCACACAAAAGGGAGGAGAGCAAGTGCTTGATCACCTTTTTACATTCCTTTTAAATTCCTTGTACTTTTGACCAATATTTTTCTGGCTGGAGTCCAGGCCTGAATCACACTCCGAGAAAGTGGACAGGCCCTGTCAGTTCAACCAAAGGGCCCCGGAAGATCAACCGCCTTCCAGGCACCTAACCACAAGCTGGAAGTTATGGTTAATCTTGGCCTCCGTGACCTTTTTGTACCATTCAAATGCCTTCCCTACCACCTCAATGTCACTGTGGGATGAGACGAAAGTGGATATGTCATCAGAATATGCAGAAACCCTAGCTCGAGCCCCACTAGGTACAATTCCACATAGGGATGGACTGCATGCCCTGTCCCTTAGCTGGTGAAAGAGAGCCTCCAATGCCAAAGTGTAAAGTAGGGGTGATAGTGGGCAACTCTGATGAACCATTCAGCACTGGGGGAGCGATACAGGAGGCTAATCCACCAGCAGAAGTTGGGTCTGAAAAAATCTTTAGCAGAGTTATAGACCTGTAATCGTTTAAATCCCACCCAACACCATTGTTCTTTTTCAATTTTTCACCCATGTTCACGGTTTTGTCAGACATCTTGTTTAAATTATGCCTAATTACCTGACCCTGAAAGCACTCACTAGCCATGTGCTGCAAGGCTTCCTTAGCTGGGCCTATCTCTATGGATCCCTTCCTCCATCCACTCTCTAGAAAAGACTATCCTTGAGAGCCTTCACCTTATTAGCCTTATCTAGTGTGAGCTACTGACTATATTCAATGGTGAAGACCTAATCCTAGCCTTAAACCTCTCCCGCCACCTATTTCCAATAACTAGTTCCCGCTGCACTAAACTAATTAGCTGTTGCTGGAAGTCTTGCCTGTTCAATAAAGACAGATTAAACTTCCAGTATCCAACAATTCTTGTGTTAGTCTAATTTCTGTGGTCCGAATAGTCTAGCCATTTGAACATTGTCCAATCTAACAGATTGACATTGGCCTTTCTGAGTAACATTCTATCTGGGTAGCTAGATACCTGGGGAGACTAAGTGCCTACATCCTCCTCCAGGGTGATCGATCCAGTATCTGTTGACAAGACCAAACTTGCTGATCAGATCATCCACGCTATGATTGCCCGACCTCCCACTGGCTTATTTGGGATCCAGAACAGCATTCCAGACTAAGCACAACAAATCCACCAGGAACAGTTCAAGCTGATGAAAAATTAAACATGCTCCACCTAGTTCAACTGGCCTCCCTACATTGACATGGACAAGGTCACCCTCACATCCAGGGTATGCTTAACCAGCAAGTAAATGCCTCTGGCCAGTTGGTATGCTGAATAGACAACAAAGTCACTAGACAACACATGAGCATCATTATGCAAACAAAGTCTTCTCAATTGTGATGACATTCACTCTGAATGACAAGAGGTCTTGAAGCAGGCAGGCAGCTTTATTCATTCACATTCAAGCTGGCTATCTTGACAGACATATTTTAAATCTGAAAAAACGAAAAGACACTATTCACATACTGTCCGGAAATCTGCGGTGGTTGGGACCCTGACAGATTGTCCTAGACTCCCTGTACTGATATTGGACATGATTCGTCCTTCTAAGACAATCCCACTGACGTCCATAGGTTAGCTTAGTTTTAGGGTCTTATATAAGCAGGGATGGAGAATAACTTGGACTCTCTCTGCATACATTTGAGACATTTTTATCAGTTCTGGAGACCCTAGTTCGGTCATTTTTATGTTGGAGAATGTGTCCCTTGCCTCAGCCAAGTAGTCCAACACTTTCAAGTTTCCCCTCATATTCCTTATTAGGGTACTTACACTAGGTGCCTTGGGGAAGTTTCTGGTATCCTCCATTGACTTACTGTCCATGGAGGTGTATTTAAATAACAGCCTTAGGACGGTTTTCTTCTGTGATGACTAGTCCCTTTCAAGTGCCTTTCTGTCCACCTGACAGACAGCCCGCCCACCCCTTGAGGAAAGACTTTTCTTGGGG